TCTCTCCCTCTCTCTCCTCTCTCTCTGTGTGTGTGTGTGTGTGTATGTGTGTGCGTGTATGTGTGTGTGAGTGTGTATGTGTGTGTGTATGTGTGTGCGTGTGTGTGTGTATGTGTGTGTGTGTGTGTGTGTGTGTGTGTGTGTGTGTGCATGTGTGTATGTGTGTGCGTGTATATGTGTGTATGTGTTCAGGTTCAAACAGGTTTGTGTGTATCTGTGAACATGTATGCAAATAGGTATTTGTAAGTGCGTTTTATGAATGTGCATAGGAAGGGATGGGGGAAGGGGAATTCAAATAAATAATGAGGTCAGAGTTAACACAGACAACGCTTTATTGAACATCAAAACTTAGGAATATGAACTCGTATTTTTGGCTTCATGAAATTTGTCTACAGTGGGGTCGAAAATTCGTAGTGCAACTTATCCTCGAATGTCTCTTTAACGAGTGAATAAACGTCACCCATACCTTGCATAGCAGGCTGTCTCAATTTGTCTTGACTTATTCATATTTTTCCTAAAACAATTAATGATAGATTTTTAAAAAACGTTTCTTCATAAATTTAAAGAAACTACTATAAATCTCCGTCACGCGGAAAATGGGATTGTTCACAGCACTTCCTGCTTCTTACTCACATTTTACATACGCATAATATGGCCTACATCACAGCTCACCAATAACATTTTAGTGGCAAAACTTATTACAAGAAATTAATTTTAAAGTGAACACTTTCTGTGCATTAGGCCTATAGGTTCTCAAAACAAGCGTTCAATAAGCATAAGGTCAAAATTAAAAGGAAAAAAATGACGTATTGTTTTTAAAAGCGATATCGCCACCGCTTTAAAGCTTTTGAAGTAGGTAGAAACCACCCACTTAAATTTTTTATTAGTATTTATAGAGGAATTTTCCAGATTGCAGCTAACAAGTGTTTATAAAAAGTCAGTCTGTTAGGACAAATTGTTACAAGTCATTGTGCAAAAGCTTGAGAGTGTATGTTCGATAGTTTCCGAAATATTTGACAATAATTGCGTCAGGAATTTTTGCCGCACTGAGGATATTATTCTCTTGTCATATCATATTATACATGTGTTATGATACATTGAATTTACAAACACAATAAATTTACCATACCTTTATCAGAACCAGAAAGTGCTAGATCTGAAACAGAAGTCGGCAATCTGTGTTCGCTTTTCTGTTTTTTTCGCTCGGATGCTCTCCAAAACCCATACTATTATCCTGCCTGGTGTTTCGCTGCAACCATCGTTTCATCTTCTCAATGTAAGTTGCTCTGGGTCCAGGCCTTCTCATGCCTCGCTTGCATTCCTATTTTCTAGTAAAGGAAAATGTTCAAGGCGTTTATTATGTCGGTTAAGGAAGACCACGGCAGTAGCCAACAGCCAGAAAAGGTCGATTTTGGTGACAAAAACTGATTTCTTTTATTTTGGGCTATTTTAGTCAACAAACATTTGTTCTATCGATTAAAAACATTTCCAAGTATCGAAAACATGTACAAGATGTTGAAAATTTGCACATTCTTTTAGGCTCTTCAGTTTCATACGTTAATTTTAATTTTAAATTTATTTTTAATTGTCATATTATTTTTACACTTTTGAAAATATATGTGAATGTTCCTTGATGTAAGTTAAAGAAAACAGATGGAAGTGAAATCTTTAAAAAAAATTATTTAAAAAATAAAGAGATTGAGAGAGGAAGGGGTGGGGTTTCAACTAAAAGATCATGCACAGACCTATAGCTATCATTTCTTCTGAGTAATGTTGTAGAACAAAGAAAAGAATGTAGCACCCCAATTATTGTTAATTTTTTGTTGACTTTGAGAAAGTCTTTGACAGCATAGACCGAAAGTCGTGGTGGAAAATTCATGCACTTTATGGCATTCCAACGAAAAAGATAAAATGTATAAGATCATTATATACCAAAAACAAACTACTTTGTTCTAGATGAAGGAGCATTATCTTCACTTTTTGAAGTAAACACCGGAGCTAGACATCGCTGTGCACTATCATCTGTACTCTTTGGAATTGTGATCGATTCTGTAATAATGCAGAGCAGAGACATTGAAACAAGCATTGTATGAATAAATGGCACATATTAAGGAGGTTTAGATTTTTCGGATGGCATCTGCCTATTAGACATCACAACACATGAATACAATGTTTTTAAAATGAATAAGCAAGAGCTACGGAAGAAGTTGGCCTTGTAATAAAAATGTCCAAAACAAAAGTGCTGCGATTATCACCAGAATTACTCCCATCAGTCTTTATGGAGACCCTCGTGTAGAAATTAGTAAACTCAAGTACCTTGGCAGCATTATCAACCAAATTGCAGACTGCCTTGACGACGTCCACCAAAAGCTTCAAAAGCAGGGATTTCTTTTATTAATTCTAAAACCATCTGGAAGTCAAAGATCGTTTCCTGGAAATCGAAACAAGAATTAATATTATAATAGCAATGTTTTAGTCCATCTGACGTATGGTTAAACACTATTGAAATTAAATAAAGCGATCAAGCTTAGATCAAAAGCTTCCAATCCAAACGTTTATGATGAAGAATTTCACTAATAAAATGGAATTAATTTATTACAAATAATGAAGTGTTGGAAATAGCTGGAATTGAAGATACCAACATTGTCATAAAAAGTAGAAGATGGTGATATTTAGGGCATGTTCTAAGAATGCCGAAGACAAGACTGCCCTATCAGGCACGGTATTGGAGACCTACTGGAAAAGCAGCGAGAGGTAAACCAACTGGAAGCTACAGGCGTAATTAGGGATGAGGCAATCACTCAGGGCATGGATGTTCCGAGATTGAAGAAGATGGCCTGGGACAGGCACGCTTGGCGTCGACTGCTTTCTGCCTTATGTACCTGACGGTATAAGGTGAGAGTAAGAAGAAAGATAATGATATGGGGATCTCAAATAATTGACGATCAAATACGCGACTGTGGGTCGACTTATTGACAAACCATTTAGCGCACCCATCTACGGGTTTCTAAAAGTCAACCATAAGCTGCATTAAAAAAAAAAACAAAAAAAACCCAGCTACGGTAATGAACCCACGGGGACATAACCAGACGACGCAAAGAGTTGTATTTTGAGTCTGATAAACGAAAACGTTTACCCATTTTGAGGGTCGATATTGGCACTTACAGGACTGTGACATGTATATCTTTATAATTACGTGCCGAATGCCTAATCGTGGTTAACATAATCGTTATAATAGACTTTCATAGCTGTCATTCAGTGTATATGTGGAATTTAGAGCTTTTAAATTCTATGCCGAACGTTTTCTCAAATGATTAAAAATAATTGTTGCAATAGACTTTCAGCTCTGACGTTCAACTTTTTTTAACAAATCCAAATGCGCTAAAGGGGAAAATTGTCTTATTCAATCTAATTATGTAACATAGATGCTATTATAACAATTAATGAGTTCTTGTGATACAACTATAGTAGTACAATCGTCATCTGTATTTAAATAGCTGTTACAATGTTTAAGAACTATCCATGAACACAAGGCAAGAACGATGTTAAACTATTGTCCTTTTGTCCTTGAGTACTTTGTACTTATAGTTTAGAGTTTATAAATCAAGATTTTTGTCTTTGATTAAGCCTTTGTACTTATAGTTTAGAGTTTATAAATCAAGATTTTTGTCTGAAACAGGAGAGGGGCTTAGCGCTATAGTGACTTTGTTGTCGATGTCCCACACATCTCTCCCACCCAGAATGCCGATTTCAAATTTATTATTGTGGGTGACGAATTCAACTTATTCCCGCAATGAGAGCGTTAATTTGGCAATAACGACCTCATCACTTGAGTTACATTATGTAAAAATCGTTAGCGACGAGCAGTGGTACATTGTCCAAGTGGTCAACTTGGTGGTCATCTCTGGTCTCCTCAGTCTGTTCGGCGTGGCCTCCAACATCATCAATATTGTGGTGTTTGCCAAGCAAGGCTTTCAGGACAGCATGAACATCAGCCTCATGGGTGAGATGGCAATTATCACACCGACAGTTGCTTACAGCTAATTATGTGACTATTTTACACTACTGGAATAGAACATAACCCACATACGTGAGATGGCAAGTATCTCATCTACAGCTACTAACAACTGCTGTGCTTTTACAACAGTCATGGAAAAGAATATAACCCTCACAAATGATTGAATAATGATGAAATATAGTACCCATCACATTTATTGTACCTTCAACATTCTTTTCAACAGTTCTAAGACCAGGAATCATTTTAAAAACTTATTTCACAGACGAGAGGGAAAAAACTGTTCCAATTAAAAACTGTACGTATACGTCTATATGACTTTATCAAAAAGTTTTCAACATTTACAATTTGGATTTCAACAAAATATTTCTTGTGCACAAGCTGCCGATACCACAGAATAAGAAAATGCAATGTAAAAAATATTTCTAAAGTGGACTAGGTACATCTAAATAACTCGCCGACGATACCTTTTCCACCGATGTAGCTTACTACAGGCGAATGCTGTATGCCGCTTTTTCATGAGCAATTTAGGTTCCAGATTTTCCCTACTTATAATGAAATCCGCCAATTCACTCCGTTGTCTGAACGAAGGGGTACTACTGCATTGTAACAGGAAAATATGACACTGAGCGACCCCAATCGCTAATTCAAGACTTTTCTGAAAGACCAAGTGAGCAGAACGCGTTAAATAATCCTTTTCAAAACATTTCTAACATAAAGAACCCGTTGCACGGTAGGCATTCTCCATTTCTCAGTTCTGATTATAAACGTCTTCTCTGTCCTAACAGAGAATATTTAATGGGCTTTATAACGAAATGCACATCATGTTTCAAAAAGTCAAAAAAAAAAAGAAAAAAGAAATATAATTGTAGAAACTTTACGCCGTCATCGCCATTATTTGAGTCACAACGTTGTGGAATCAGGGGCTCTTACATTTTTGGGCATATATCGTTATTGGTATCATCTTAAAGCCTGTTTATTTGCCTTTCTTTTTGTGAGAAAAATATCCATCTACGGTGAATAGAAGTCAAAATATTTCAAATTGAATGAGGGCAGGACCGCCTGGTTTCAGAGGTAATATTAGTGAGATAATGGACGCCATAGTTTAGCGAATTCCAAATTTTGAGAGTCCTTAGAAAATGCAGATTTACAATGTTGTATCTTAAATCATCATTCTTCGGTAAAATCCACACAGAAATGTGTTTTTAAATAGACCTTAAGTCACTTGAGCCTGAACTTTTTTCAACCCAAAAACAATTGTAGCCTGACTCTTGTTTCTTTTTTTTCTTTCTTTTTTGGTATATTGAATTGATAAGCATAAAAAGACTGAGAAAGCTATCATACATTTTTTTTACAGCAAGAAAAGAAAGAAAGAAATGCTCTAACAGAAAAAGAAAACTGCATCTGATTTGTTCAAATTGTCTTTATTGTATAAATATTTTGAAATGTATGGGGGTTACGCATTTTTTTGCGTCCAATTTGTAATAAAATCATCTTTCGTAATACGAGGGTGACTAACTTAGTTCATGACTGCTCAAAAAAGTATCACACATATATAACCTAATCAAATCTTTAACGAAACGAAACTAGTGGGTCGACTGTTGGTTCGGCGCTTCCTGTAGCTTGTAACCGAAAAACAACAGAAACATTGTTCGATAAAGTGCATCCCCTAAATACACGGGATAAGACCACCGGGCCGCCCGCTTGTCCCCTTTATACTCGGGAATAGGCTTAAGTGGGTTAAAGGTGTTGAATAAATAAAACCCCGAAAGTTCTATAGAAATAGCCAAACGGACAGAAAAATGTTCGTTTCTTTTATATCATTACGATGCCTCACATCTAGGTTACTAAAGAGGCGGGTCCCTTCGCCCTGCTACTGGAGGCCAACCCCGGCTGAAAAGGATACAACAGCGAGAAGACGAAGATACTTGATTTTTAAAAAAATCCTTCCCACACTTGAATCAATCTCGTATCTTCTACGTGCGACAGCACAGCGTCTAACCACTGCACCACAAAAGCGGGTTACCAAAAAAGTAATCAGGAATTAAAGGGTGGGTAATTTGACTTCAGGATATTGTGCTGCTTAAACACAGAACAACAAACTTGCTCTGTTGGCCTAGAGGTTAAGGTGTTGGCCTCACATGCAAAGGTCCCGGGTTCGAATCCGGGTAATGACAGAAACATTTTCTTCTCCCAAAATTGTCTCCTTTCGACTCATTTTCTGCTCTCTAGCAATGTTCTGTTGTCTGCTTTTTTCTCCCCTTTCTTCCCCCACTCCCTCACCTCCTTTGCCCTCTCCTTTGGGCTCCTGACTCTTTTTGCAGCCTTTCTACCGTTACTCCTTGGCTTCTTCTCACTGCTGTCTTTCAGACACACCCATGATCTTCTGGTAGAAAAGATCTACACTTAGCCTTCTCGGACAAGTGCAAAAAATCCCGGAGGGCCTGTGTGCAAGTTGCGCACTTTAAAAAACCCTTGGTGGTCTAAAAATCAATAAGATTAGGCTTCGGCCGCCAGCCGGGTAAAATTCAAAATTTCCTACCTACTACAAAAATGGTTTAATGTGTCCCGCGAGCTCAAATGATCTTATGCAGTTGTGAGCGCCGTAAAACACCTACTAGAAAAAAGATAAATGTGAGGCGAGCTGACAAATGACTTATTTCTCGCAATCCACAAAAAAAAATAATTCAACACTAGAGTCAAATTGTAGATTTTCTATTGATGCCATATACTTTAAGTGTAATAAATAATATGCCTGTTATTATTTCATACTTATGTATCGTTAAAAACTTGTCAGCGTGGTGTAGCTATTGCCATATGGCCCGAATTCAAGAAGTAACTCATTTTGTCAGCACGTTTCACATATATTTAAAACAAAATTTGGATTTATACCTGAGAAGGGCACCAGAAATGCCATATATTCACCTTAACAATGTTAATGAAAATTCGTATTGAAGCACAGAAGGATGTATAGATCCGTGTATGCTTCACAGATTATACAAAGGCTTGTCATAAAGTCAGACGTAATAAGTTATTTTAGATATTAAAAGAGCTACATATAGATAGTGAAGATCAAAGAATTATCAGGAATTTGTATTAGGACCAAAACAGTGCTGTAAGAATTAATGAAGAATACAACGAATATAATCAGATAAAAAGAGAAGTGAGGCAACGATGTGTTGTGTCCCCAGACCTCTTTAACACATTCTGTTAATAAATCATTAGAAATTTTAAAAAAATGGCCGGGTCTTAAAGTGAATGGCAGAATTATTAACAGCATCAGATAGGTCAATGACAAAGTATTAATATCAGATTCAGAAAGGTCCTCCAATAGCTTCTAGGTACATAATAAATAATGCATTGTTGCATTGTCCCACCTCATAAACTGTTTGTCATTCCAGGCCTCGCTGTGTCTGACCTGTGCTCCCTGCTGACCATGATATGGATAAGTATATGCATGAACCCACTTTTCTACCTCTCTGATTTGCGCTTTGACCCAAGGGATATCATGTACCTCACGGGATCCGCACCTCATTACCTCTTTGTCAAAATTGCCACTTTTATCACCGCCTTCATCACCTTTGAACGATGTCTGTGCATTGCTGTCCCTCTGAAGGTGAAGACGATCATCACACCGGAAAGGACAAAGACAATTATTATCTCTATCTACGTTGCTATGGTTGTTTTGCTTATCCCGTTCTGCCTTGGAAACAGACTTGAATGGGTTTTTGATTTCACCAGGAATACTACGGTTCTAAAAACGACCTACACAGCCGAGAGAGAAATGCTAGAAGCCATTACGTATCTAACCCAAGGCGTATTTGCTACAACGTTTTCTTTCATATTCGTCTTCTGTTGCACCGTCGTTCTTGTCGTCAAACTCAACAGTAAAACAAAATGGCGACAGGCCACTGCAGCCAAGTCTGATCTTGCAGCGGAAGGAGTTGGGGTCAAAGACCGGAAGGTTGTCAAGATGGTGACCCTCATTGCTGCCATTTTCATCGTCTGTGCCGTACCTCCACCGCTCCTATTTTTCTATATGTTGTTTGACCAAGATTTCCGCATTGACGGTGTCTATCGAAATCTCTATCTTGCCGTTTGGTCTTCATCATTTCTAACAGAAACAGTCAACTCCAGCGTGAACATATTTGTGTATCTGAAAATGAGTTCAAAATACCGAGCTGTGTTTATGAAAACATTCTTGAACAACCAAGAAAAGTGACTTTTCACCTTAACGGAAAAATATGTTCATATTGATCAAGGACGAAAAAATAGCAATATTTTAAAGATCAGGATAGCCAGCCCCCCCCCCCCCTCTCCCACCCCCCTCTTTCAAAGTCCAGGTCTTTCACAAATTCCATCAAAACTAATTTGATTTGAAAAAGAGGAAAGATCATTTTCCCCGTCCAACAAAAGTGGTTCTTTGATGACAATCTTCCCTCCAACTGCTGTTAGAGCTGTCCTCAGTGGTCAATTTTTTCCAGTATTTTTCCTTTGACTATCTCTCGGACAAAGAGATCGTGTATACATTGCATAGACACTCTGTTGGTTAAGTAAGGAGTTGAATATTTTCAGATCATCACAAATCCTTTAATTGTGGTTCGTGTATTTAAATCTATCCAACACTTTTTAAGTACCCGTATTCTTCTTTTAGCTCAACCGAGTAACCAATAGGAACGGACCCGAATGAATTTCCATTAAGGTGTAGTAGCACATACTTCAAACTTCCCTTTGAACTGTCTAAGATATGGCTCCGCTCATTCGGACCCCAGTCAGATGCACCCAATGCACATAGCAAACCTGGAGAATTTTGTAAGATTTCTTGTTATATGTGAGAAGAGAAATGGAAAGTATAACAGATGCCCTATTGTCTTTACGGAGAGAAATGTAGAATGTCACACAATACTATCGTGGCCTCTTCTGTGTAGGGAGCGGCATGGAGAATCTGACAAATAGCGACCTTAGAATTACAAAGTACTATCTGCTCGGTACGTGGACTTGAGAAATTTGAAGTATAAAAATTTTGAGTTTCACATTTCATCAAGCTTTTTAAAATGCAATTCTTTGAACAGATTGGTAGCAGCTCCCAATAATCTTACCATTTTGATAGAGTAGATAGATGATTCGTTTTTTATCGGATGGTCTTAGTACTAGTAACTCAAAACGGCCAAAATATCAGATAGAACTTTGTAATTCTGAAGTAACGAAATGTCCCGTTGCATGTAGGGACGTACGTAGGATCAGGTTTGTGGGTGACTTTAGAGACGGACACATCCTTCGATAGCCCAAATAATGAGGAGAAGAATCTATAACCTTTTTTCTTGCAAGTCGGAGTTACAATTCTGAAAATAAAGTGGAGAAACATTGTGTCTATTTTTGTTATGAGCATGAACAGTTCAAAAGTTAAAATAAGACGACACATGTATTTACATATTTTAACCCCCAAAAAACAACAAAACAACAAAGCGATTTTAACTTAATGTACTCTTAAACATCGTGGTAGGGGGGGGGGGGACAAATGAATTAGATAATGTTATTAAAGAGCATGTTCTAAAATGAGGAGAACATTTTACATTAACAAATAAAACCAGTGGCGAAGAAGTTTTTAATTTGAAAGCGAACCAAGCAAAGGCATACTTTTTTTTTACAAATCCAAATTCCAAATGTGTTCTGAGAGTCTCTAAGGGAAAGTGTATGGTAAAAGTTGAATTTATATGAAGCAGTTGACGTTCATTTCGGCATGCATTGAATGACCTCAATAAAAAAACAGCAACAAAAAAACAACAAAACAAAGCAGAGCAAAACTTAACGAAACTAAACTAAACAAAACTAAACAAGCCAAAACAAAAATTCCCATTGGTGTTGGGGATGGGAGATAATATTATGGTATCTCAGAAATCGTGTACGCGTGAGCTGTACTTATAGTTCATAGTGGTTTATTACGCTAGAATTTAAAAAAAAAAATATCTTCATGAATTTATATAAAATACTAAAAGGGACCAACTGGTCGCCCCACAGCTCGTGTTGTAGTAACACTACGTGTGTTGTGGGAGCTCATTAATGTGCAGAGCAACGCGCGCAGTCGCTGACCTCGATTTTCCGAGAGAGCACAAAGGCTGAAGAAGGATTGCAACGTCTCGGTTTTTACAGTCCCTGGTCTGACCTACGATTAGGGCATCCCTGTAAAACTCACAACCAATTTTTTCCTCTCCTCATGGTTCTCAGCTTTTTGCAGTGTGATGTTCCAGTCTAGGTAGTCCATCTGATTTAGTTATGTTGTCTTCCCACCGTCCACTCTGTCTGCCTCTTCGTCTCCCTCCTTGCACCGTCTTGTTGGCCAGTCCAGATGGTCGTGTGATATGCCCATATCATTTCATTATTCATCTTTTCACTGAATATAGGAAGTTTTCATACTCTTACTATTTAAACTCAAACAAACAAATAAACAAACTCAAAACAAGTAAACAATCAAACAAACAAAACAAGAACAAACTCCGCTACAAACTCGCAAAGTCTTTAGTTGTGGTCATTGAACGTGGCCAGCTTCCACAGAGAGTTTTGTTCTTGTTTCATTTGGAACGAGTGGAGAGCCGACAGCCGTAGACACTCACACTCACTTGCGCTAGCCTGGTACTGTACGGCGTTGCACACATCTTCTCTCTCCTTTCCCTTCCTCCGACAAACTGTTGCACACTCTAGCAAACTCCTGACGCCCTGCCTCGAGAATAACGGAGGAGACTGCACACTTTTTCGTCCCTCGGAAACGGCCATAGAAAAAAACTGTACTGTGGATGACGACGAACCGAGCTCCTGGGCGAACACTTGGACATCACACAAGCGCAGAGTCGAGGAATCCGAGCAAAAGATGGTGACAAACCGGCCAGTGACCGGATGACTACACGGCAGCGGCACAATTTTCCCCCACCCCGCCTCCTCTGCCCTGTAGGCACACATCGTCCCCAAACTACTCACTTTCGGGAATTCCGGCTCGTCTTGGGGATTCCCCTCGGATACGTGAATGGAGAAATGTGTAAAAGTGTAGTGATTGTGACTGATGATTTCTACCGAGTGGACCAGAAAAGGCTTAAGAAGATCGACCATCCACCACTGTGTGGTTGAGTGGCGTTTATAGGTATCAGAACAGTTTTCGTGATTTGTGTCTTTGTTTCCGTCGTTAGCTAAGCTGGGTACATGACTGAAATGCACAAAGTTCTGTTCCGTCGGTTTTCTCAGAGCCACGTTGTTCAACTCGACTGCGGACGACACTGGGGTACTGGCCAGCCAGCCAGCTAGTACAAGATGTATCATACTGTGAGTGCAGACTGAGAGAAGGCTCTTGTACCTCGACATTGAGTTCCTCAACATCCTGAATTGTTTATTCGAGTATCTCATCACCGTTCCTTTTCTAAATTGAATAAATAATATTCACCTTTTGCCACGAACCCAGCCTGTTAACGTATTGTAATGTTTGTTTACGTATTGTGAGTTCTGCTTCAGTATAGTTGTAAGGTGTGCTTAGAATTGTAATTTATGATTCCGTATTGGAATTTCTGTTTATGTTATGTAACTTGTGTTTGTTTATTGTAATGTATTATTATTTATTGCAATTTGGTGTCTGAGTACATGTATTGTAACATTAGTGTTTAAGTACATGTATTGTTTCGTCTGTTTATTTATTGCTTTATGTGTGTTAAGTAGAGTAGTGTTTGTTTATTTATTGAAATGTACGGATTAACTCATTGTGTGTGTGTATGTGTGTGTGTGT